GACAACAGCCACATGTTTGAAAGAGGTCGTAAACATTAGCGTCATGTAGGGAGTTGTTTACTGGTCATGGAAAGGTGGGGGGGGGGGGGGGCTGCGGCGAATCGGCGGGAGTGAGCGTCTGTTGTCGCTCCTCGCGAGCCAAGCGGCCGAGGGAGCGCACGTCTTGTTTGTCAAAGCTTCAGGCAGACTGGATAGCGTACTCATGAGTGAAATTCTATCAGCTATGCAGTGATGTACGGTACGGTGGTATGCATACGTGGTGTAAAGAAGGGAATGCTGAGACGCGATATTGCAAACGACCCCCACCCCAACCGCGATGATCTGTCTCGTCGCTCTTCTTGCTTTTTGTCACGGGGCTTACTATTTTCGGGTGGCGTCAGGTGTTTTCTGCGAGTGATGCCACGGCGATGAGGTTGCGGCAGCCGGGCAATCTCAAGCTGCTGGCTCGGGAGGTAAGAACCGAGACCGATCCGGAGTTTTGCTCTCTCTAACCAGAGTGGTACCATGATACATAAGTTTGCATTTGCCTTGGTTTTTGTATCGGAGGCGCTAACCTGCTGGCCAATGAAATGCGTCATTCTCAGCGCGGCTCAACACAAATAACGCTTCCAGAGCCCATAATCTGGGGTCCGGTGAGTGGGGGTCATTGGGGAAGCTATAATAGGGCGGTCTCCGGATTACAGACAGGACTGGTAGGAGATCAAAGAGGGCGTGTTCGTGTTTTCGTCCCAAATATGCTGGCGCCAGTCTTTCACTTTCGTGTTTTCAATAGTTTTTGTCGTGTTTGTTGACACTGACTGATGTTCTTCGCATGTGTACAGTACGCTGACTCGCCGCCTTAGCTTGTGGAATGGAATTCTCGATCTCGAGTTGTCGTTCTGGCCCTCAAAGCTACGGCCTTTCATGGACACCCCTCTCACAATCCCAGGTCATAGCCCCCCCCCTCCCCCACTCGCGCGCGCCCTGCGCGGACGCCCTCCACTCGCCGACGGCCCTCCCCCCCCTCTCTCTGCGTTTCTCCCTTTTCGCTTGGCGCTTTGGCTGTGGAACACATTTACTGCGCGCCCTGCCGCAGGCCCTGTCCAACATCTCTCGTTTCATGGAGTCTAGGCAGACGAGCCCCCACATGGTGACGGTGAACGCGAGCATCCGGGTGCTGACCCGGGTACTGCCGGCCCTCCTGTCGTCTCCCGAGCTCCGCTCCTGGTGTTGGGCGCGCCGAACGTGAGTGCGTGTGTGTGTTTTTTTTATTTGTAGCATCGACCGCGCTGACCGGCTGGCCATTGAAAAGACGTCAGTCTTAGCGCGGTTGAAGAAACGAAACACTTCTAAATGCCATTAGCTGGGACCCGGTGTGTGTGTGTGTGTGTGTGTGTGTTAGCCGTGGGCGCGTGGCTGCTGCCGTGCGCCGCGTGTTGAGTGGCTTGTGATTTAAGGATATTTTTTTCTTGGAGTAAGAGGGCCGAGAAGCGGCAGGACCACAGTTCTGTCTGCAAACATGAGGACCATTTCGGATATTTTGATACTTGTGTCCTGGTGGTCCGTAGTTTTTCAAACAGGGTATGTACATGTGTTATATCCGAGAGAGACAGAGAGAGAGAGCGGTATCCTGTGCAATGACGTGTAGTAGCGCCACAGTGTTTTTTTTGCTTGGACGGTTTCTCTTTACTGTAGTTGAGGGCCACGTTAGATTCTCGGGCTTGAGTTGTGTACGGGTGTGTTTTATGTTGGAGTTGGTCAGAGAGGTCACGCGCCTTCCCTTTTTTTTGTGGTGTCTGCTGCCAGAACCATGAACGCCAGATGATCACGGCCATCGAAATAAAATGTTGTTGTTGTGAGCCGTGGGTGTAGCGGAGCGTGCGCTTGTCCAAATTGCGTTGTTCTGTGTCATTGGGTGTCATCATCTACATATGATGTCGCTTACTTGTCGCTGCCACGGTTCTCTAGACGGTGAAAAGGGATGGATGGATGTGCCGCTAACGAACACGGGGTTTGTAACGGGGTGCTCTCTGCTCGCTCTGTTCTGCAAGACGCTCCCAAGCCTTGCCAAACAGCAGTCCGGTCCAAACGGCATGATAGCTGGTGTAGAACGCACAGAGAAGCCTCGCCTCTAGAACTTTCGACCGCGAGCTGCAGTGACACGCAGGAGGTCGCATTGCCTGGTGCACGGCTGTGTGTGTCGCGCGTTCGGTAGGGAGACTGACTGCTACGTGAAGCAGGCCTGCTGTCCTTGAGCCTTGAGAGAAATCGCGTGTGAAGGACAGTTTTCACCACCGCCCGCACTTCTGCCCCCGTCCAGGCTGCCGCAACTGCTCTCCTACCTGCGGAACAACGAGGAACACTCACCGCCACGAAACGGACAGGACGTGCGGCAGCAGCAGCAGCAGCAGGGGAGACGACAAGAACAAACGCCTCGCGGGAGGTTTCCCACGCCCGAGCCCATCGACGCCGAGCCGGCTCCCCTGCCGGACACGACGTCCCCGCCCTCCCCCACAGAACTAGACGACGGCGTGGCTTCGTCGGGGAGCGGGGTTTCCACCGGAGGTGCCGGTGCCGGCGGCGGCGGCATCAGCAGCCGTGGCGGCGTCAACTGCAGGCCGTACGGAGGAAGCGGGGACGGCGACGACGGGGAGGGGGATGGTGGCAAGGGTGGAGACAGCGGGAGCGAAGGCGGCGGCGGTAGAGACGGCGGCCGCGGCGGCGCGGGCGACGACTTTCCGGTGTGTTTCGCCTCGGTGGCTCTGCACGCGGCCACCAGCCTGCTGTCCTTCCCCGGGTTCTGCGTGGACGACGAGGCGATGGAGTGGTGAGAGAGAGCAGCGGCAACGCGTTGCTGTCGTACCGTACCGTCCTCTCCCCGCGTATTTGTTTTCGTGGAATAGGGGGACGTACGTGGATTGTTTCTTGGAGCCCGTGTTTTGCGGGATTGGGATTTATTTCAGCGTTGGCTATTGACGAGAACCGGCCTCGCGTAAGCGCTCGTTCATACATGCATAGATGTAGCCTTGACATTCGTTGGGCCTCTGCCTCGTGTAACCGTTTTTGTGTTTGTGGTGGTGATGATGACCGGTTGGGTGTTGTTTGCCACTGCGACGGCAGGAAAGGAAGACCGTTATCACCTCTATGGTTTTGGTGTCGGTGCGATTAGCTCCGACATTCACGTTGTTTCCTCATCGTTTCTGAAACTATTTGGTTTGAAAATTGGCTTTGGATGTACGCCTACGTACACATACACTTTTCTCGGTTTAGAAGCTCAACTTGCTACTTTTTAGACACCGCCACCGCTGAATGAAAACCATGAAAATGCATGGCACAGTATGGAATTTACACTCGACACTCACACGTCAACGAGGAACTGTTAGCACTCTCCCCGACTCTAGCTTGCCCTTGGCACCACTATTTTATTTGCTTCAGGAACGACTACTACACCCCCATCCCGGATTTGCACTACGGGATCAAGGAGGCCGCCATCATCTGGGCACCCGGGGTTGCGGTCACAGAGCACAACATGCGGGTAAGGAGAACAGGGGCTGAACCTCGTCAATTGCCGTAAGGGTGCGAGAGAAGGGACGGGGGTGCCGTTGGTTTTTCAGTCGTTTCGTTCTTGGCTTTTTATCGCACGGGACCCCCCGTGAGGGTGACAGTCGAATTTCATCACGTCGACCCTCTCGAACCAACGCGTGCGGTCTCTCGCATCCGTTGCGATGTCTTCTTTGGTCAGGGTTGGGGGGATGCGTGTCCATGCCGATGGGTGTGTGAGGGGGGGGGGGGGGGTGAGAGGTGTTTGGCAAGATCAGCGACGAGCGGCAGGGCTGAGGAGCGGGGCGTAATATGCTGGAGAGGAATGTTTGTGTGAGGTTTTGTGCGCCCCCAGGCACGTTGAGTTACCCCCCCCCCTTCCCCGTCTTGTAGATGCCTCGTTTCGTTCCACTCTACCAACCACCTTCCTGGGCGTTGTTGCTGTTTCATTTCGATTGTCGCTGTTCCAACCTATGACTTGTCGTCCCGGCTGTAGTTTTTTTTAAGCCTTTACGTTTTTCATCAACCTCTTGTGCTGCAGGAAGGTGTACTTCAATCGTCGTTGCTTTTGTGTTTGCGTGCAGCACCTAAGCTCTTTCTCATCAACCTCTTGATACTGCTTCATTTTGGCGAGCCCTCCCCCATCAAAACCTCCTTGTTGCTGCATCAAGTACTTCAGTCCTCTCCCATGAACCTCTCGTGCTGCATTGCGTGCGCTTGAATCCGTCTTGTTTTCGCGTGCGTGCAGCAAGTGAGCTCTTTCGATTCCAACCGGGTGGAGACCCTCCGGCTCTTGGCGACCCTGCTGTCTCTCCCCCTCTTCCTCGACACCCCTTCGCCGGTGAGCAAATCAGCCTTCCGTCGCAGACTACCGTTGATGACGCAAGATATCGCACCCCCTGGACGGATTTTCAAGCTCGATTATTTCTCCACAGCAGTTGCGGCGCCGAAAACGGTGGAGCTGGAACCGTCGTCTCTCGGGCGAGAGCTGTTCGAAAACGCAGCAATGTTTTCATTTATGCACCCTCTTCGCCGTGGAGTATCCGAGCTTTTGAAAACATTCCCTACATCACAGCAAACAACTGAACAACTGTTGTGCTTATTTCCTCGGCCTCAAGTTGCATCGTTCTCCGAGGCGGTCGTTCCGAAATATCGACTAACGCCTTCCCGTGTCTCCAGTGGTGCCTAGCTTGAGATTCGATCATTGTCGCACGATATCACACCGGGTTCTATGCACCAAGATCTTGTTCGTCCGTGAGCCTGTGCCGTTGGACCTTGCGATGTTTCACGGGAATCGCCTATGCTAACTCTCGGTGAAATAGTGAACTAGGCATTGCCTGAAAGGTCAGACCCCGAAATCCGCTTGTGCGTGGGGCCCGTGTCCTTGCCTACCCCCCGCGCCATGGACCCCACGACCTGGCGTTTTTGGGGGGCAATCCTTCACGGCAGTATCGAATGCACCGAGAGGTAGGCGATTCCCGCTACATGTCGGAGGGTTGAACACCTCGGGGTTATGGACGAACAAGCTGCTGGTGCATAGAAGCTGGTTTGATTTTGTGCGACAATGATTGAGACCCTCGAGTCAATGCACAAAGCTGGTTTGTGTTCTCGTCGTTTTTTACTGTGTGCGAAAGTTGCTTGAGTGCCAGCTCTTTTCAACATGTTGGTCTTCTCGCACGCACGCGAAGCTGGGTATTCGTCGACCTTTACCTTGGCTCACAGCCCATGGGCTGCCTCTCTGCCCTTAATTAGTTGTCACGCCCCCCCCCCCCCCCCACGCATTCGCCGATGACCATTCATTGGTGGCGAGGCTTCGCCGTTATGCAGGCAGAAATAAGATCATGACCACCATACAAACGCGCCCACCCCAAGAAAAAATGTTCGCACACCGTGCATCGCAGCGAGGACCTCCTTCTACCAACCCCCGTCGGACGTGATATCGTTAGGATACATGGGACTAGGGAGGACATTTTCGAGCCACCTTTGGCGAAGTAGGAAGGAACGAATTCGCCATCGGTGATCGGTCCTGTGGGAGCAGTGCTCCGTCCTCTCGAGGACGCGTAGTCAATGGTCTGACCGCTAAGGCATGCAAAACATAAGAGTACGCCCTTCTGACATGCACCGACAAAACCATCACCCTCAACTCTGTACCCCCCCCCCCCCTGCCCCCTCACAACCAGAGAACACCAACAATTCCGCCGCAGGCGCCGCCGCCGCGGCGCCGGCGGTGGCCATCCGGAGCACCACCGCCATCCATCCCGGGGAAACCTTTGCCGAATCCCACCGCCGCCCTTGCGGCCTCCCGCCACCTACAGTTCTCCTCCGAGCTGTTCTACTCCCTGCTTAATCTTGCCGTGGTCAACAAGGCCGTGCCTGGGGGGGAGGCGGCGGGGCGGGCTGGCGGGGGCGGGGGGCAGGGTGTGATGCGGTGGTTTGGGCCCTGGGGGGGCCCCGGACCGGGGGGGCCCCCG